CCTTATCATTATCATGATTATTATTATCATTATTAATATTGTTATCATTATTATCATTATCATTATTTGCATTATCATTATTTGCATTATCAATATTATCATTATTTTCATTATCATTAGTATCATTATTTCCATTATCATTATTATCATTATTTTCATTATCATTATTATCCTTATCATTATCATGATTATTATTACCATTATTAATATTGTTATCATTATTATCATTATCATTATTACTATTATCATTATTACAATTATCAATATTAACATTATTATCATTATCAGTATTATCATTATTATCATTATCATTATATCATTGTCATTATCATTATCATCATCATTATTATCATTATCATTATTATCAATAACATTATTATCAATATCATTATCATTATTATCATTATCATTATTAGCAATATCATTACCATTATTATTATCATTATCATCATTACCAATATCATTATTATTATCTTTATCACTATCATTATCATTATTACCATTACCATTATTATTATTATTATCATTATCCTTATCATTATAATCATTATCATTATCATTATTATTACTATCATTATTACTATCATTATCATTATTGCCATTACCATTATCATTATCATTATCATTATCATCATTATCATATCATTATTGTCATAATAATTATCATTATCATTATAATCATTATCAGCAATATTATCATTATCATTACCATTATTATCATTACCATTATTATCATTATCATCGTTATCATTATTATCATTACCATTATTATTATAATTATTATCATTATTATTATCCTTATCATTATTATCATTATCATCATTATCATTATATCATTGTCATTATCATTATTATTATTATCATTATTAGCAATATCATTGCCATTATCATTATCATTATTATCATTATTATCATTACCAATATCATTATTATCTTTATCATTATCATCATTACCATTTTCATTATTATCATCGTTATCTTTATCATTATCATCATTATTATCATTACTATTATTATCATGATCATTATTACTATTATCATTATCATTAGAATCATTATCATTATTATTATTATCCTTATCATTATTATTATTATCCTTATCATTATTACTATCATTATCATTATTACTATTATTATCATTATCATTATAATCATTATCAATATTATTATCATTATCATTATTATTACTATCATTATCATTACTATCATTATCATTATTGCCATTACCATTACAATTATCATTATCATCATTATCATTACTACTATATCATCATTGTCACAATGATTATCATTATCATTATCATTATTATCATTATTAGTAATATCATCAATATCAATATCATTATTATTATTATCCTTATCATTATCATTATTATCATTACCATTATTATCATTATCATTATTATCATTATCATTATAATTATTATTATTATTATTATTATTATTATTATTGCTGTTGTTGTTATTATTGTTATTATTATTAGTAGTAGTAGTAGCACTAGCATTATCACTACTATCATTATCATTCTTATTATCATCATTATTATCAGTATCATTATTATCAGTATCATTATTATCAGTATCATTATTATCAGTATCATTTTACCATTATTATTATTATCATTATTACCATATCATTATTGTCATAATAATTATCATCATCATTATTATCATTTTCATTATCATAATCACTATTACCATTAACATTATCACAATCATTACTATCATTATCATTATATATATATATATATATATATATATATATATATATATATATATATATATATATATATATATATATATATATATATAGAATATATATATGTATAAGTATATGTATGTATTTTGACCTTCTGAGATGCCGAAGGAATGAGGAGACGTTACGAGGTGAATCGTTAAAGGCGCCCGCTGTTAGTGGCTTTAGTGGGAATAAGGAAATGTGTGTGTGTCCTTTTTTTTCTCTCCAGAGTGAATGCTTTGTAATAACTTAATAAATGTAGCTATAAATCTGATATAACACGTCCGTTTTATCATCATGCGTCCAGTTTCAGAAAAAAATGGATATTCACCCAGAGGTTTGGAGCACTCCGATTCGCTAAATCTCTTATTTTATTCCAATCAGCTGCCATTTAATACTCCTTTTGCTTCAAAATATACATATATTTTCTTTTTCTTTTCTTTCTCTCTTTCTTTTATTTTGTTTTCCTTTTGGCTGGGATGGGTCACAAGTTGTTGAATATAGACAGAGTATAAGTACATATTGCAGAACTATGTTTTTTATTTCCCTACTAGTACCTAAGGAGGGGGTTGGGGGTATTTTCCGGGGAGCCATGGAGCAATATGGAAATCATGATGTCGAATTAAACTCTGAATTATCAATAAATTAGATTATTTCCAGAAAGTGTTTTTGTCCTATAAGCTATTAACACCATTGCACTATCCATGACTAGTAATAACTGACTTTGAAAAAATGACAGACACTGAACGGGACCGTGGAGATTGTTACATATTGGTCGGGAATAGGCTTAGAATCACTGATATACACAGAAAATGCAGATATGGATAGATATATGTACAAAATATAACTTATGCTTAAATTAAAGGAAAACTACCACAGTAAGAAATGAAATTGAATAGTAACGTTTCTCTTCATGAGTTCCTCTTCAGCCGAATGATATACGAAAAATGGATTTTTGGTATATCATTCGTCTGAAGAGGAGATCGTGAAGAGTTCGAAACGTAACAATTCAATTTATTTTTTTATTGTGGCAGTTTTCCTTTCATCTTTGTGTACACGTTATTGTGTTTGTGTCAGTTATGCTTAAATATATATCAATTTAATAACAGATTAATCCTTGCTTGGAGAATGGAATAATGCCTTCACTGATTTGGGAAATAATAGAGGTAGTAATCGCATCTATATATTTGTAACATATCTAAATACAGAAATTCATAACCCGACACAAGGCAAATGAGTCTTCCTGGTATTCTAAACTTTTTCCGAGTTTTTTTTTTTTTTTTTTGCAATAATCCGTTGAGTGACAGCCTCTCCTTCTAAACTTTCTTTGTTGTTTTAGTTTGGGGTTTCTTTGCTATAGACTTTTTTGTCGCCTTCGTCGTAATCTTTGTTCCTGTGGGTTTCTTAGCGGTTGCTTTGGTCGTGTCTTTCTTTGTTGCTTTGGCATTCTTCGTAGATACTTTCTTAGCGATGGGTTTCTTTGTTTCTTTGTTCTTCTTCACTCCGTTTTTCTTCGTTGGTGGTTTGTTGGCGGACGCCTTCTTAGCGGAGGGCTTTGAGGTTACTTTCTTAGCGGCTGGCTTCTTTGTGGAGGACTTCGGAGAAACCTTCTTTGCTGTGGATTTTGAGGTAGCGAGCTTGGCCGATTTTTTCTTTGCGATTGTTTTCTCATTTTTTTTATTCGTCATTTTCTTGTTGGCAACTTTCTTTTCCGTGGGTTTCTTCGATGTTTTTGTTGCTGCAGTTTTCTTGATGGTTGCTTTGCCTGCGCCTTGTTTTGTCTTTTTAACGACGTTCTTCTTAACTTCCTCCTTCGAAAGTTTGAAAGAACCGGAGGCGCCGGTGCCCTTGGTCTGCTGCAGAGACCCGTCGGCAACGCCCCTCCTCAGCGCCTGCTTCAGGTGCACGCCGGCGACCTTCTCGTCCTCGACCTGGAAGGAAGCGAGGATGAACTTGAGGATGGCTTGGCGGGAGGACCCGTTGCGCTCCTTGAGGGCCCTGAGGGCGGCGGCGACCATCTCGCTGTACTTGGGATGGGCGCGCTTGACTGAAGGACGTTTGGCCGACGTGCTTGACATGGCGACAGGATGGGGGCGAGAAGACGTTGAGAGACTTTCCGATGCGATCGTGGCGACGCAGGACAGGCAAGTGACGCCCTGGCTGCGAGGCGGACCTTAATGAGGGCGCCGAGGGACGGGGATTCCCCGGTTCTCTCGAATGCGAGGACGCTCTTCGGCAGAACACTTCTAGGGAAAGGAAACCGTTACCGAATACTTTTATATAATGAATAAATGGAATCGAGTTATTTCATTATTACTCTAATAAATGCATACGCGCGTGTATATGAAAATAGTCGTATTGATTTTGTGAGAGGCGCGAGACTGTATTTATACACTGAAAAATAGATAAATGTATGGTAATAAAAAAATCGTTTCGCCGGTTTTCGAATCTCCCTTTCTACCGCTTCATAAATTTGTTTTTGTTAGTAGGTGCATAATTCAAATCCTTTCTGAATTTGAATATAAAAGATGTCCAGCCTGAAAATATGGAGTTTAATCATGGTAACATTTTATCTTGAAATCCTAACAACTGACAAACAGTTATTATCTATCTTTCTCTCTCTCTTTTACCTATTCTTTCTATCTGTCCTCCGTCTATCTACCTATCTATCTATCTATATTTGTCTACCTGTCTCTCCACTTGTCTTTCCACAACCCCAACATTAGCTAATACATATAATCCAAGGGACAGCAATTATTGCTTTTATACATTGATTCACTGCCTTCGAGCCTATTTGGCGCTTATATAAAACTTTTGTGTCATAGGGAAAACTTAGCTATTTTACTATTGTAACTGAAATTACCTAGTTTATGTCTCCTCATGGAAGATAGGGATATGTGTTTCCCTTATTTTCTTTATTATTTTCAAATTTGTTTTTATCTTTTAACGGAAATAACATTTGGTCGTATATAAATAACACGATATATGCATTACATACTAAAGATTTTTTATTTGATATTTCTCTCGTATTCCTTTTTTTTTGGCATAGTTAAGATGCAATTTATCAGTATACATTGATATTACTATCCAGTGATCCTTAAGCTATATATAGGTTCATACTCAGAGTAATATGTGCAATCAGGGATGTACGTTTAATCTTATACACAGTTACATAAGCAATCTCATTCAAAATCAACAGTTGTCAATAATATATCTTTCAAAAATTGCAATCATTAGCTCCTCCTATTCTTTGTGGTTTGTTTCATTGATGCCGTTTCTTTGCTGTCGCCTTCTTTGATGCTGGTTTCTTTGTTACGTTTGTTTGAGCGTTCTTTGCGATAGATTTCTTTAGAGTCTTAGAAATGGGTTTCTTTGTTCCAATCTTAATGGGGACCTTAGAGATAGGTCTCCTAGCAGACTAAGCGTTGGCTTTCTTTGTGGCAGTTTTAGTAGGGATATTCGATATTGTGTGTGTACATCTATATGTGTGTGTGTATACATATATATCTGTGCGTGTGTCAAACGACAATCCTATGATAGTATCTCATTTTAATAGATATTAAGAAAAAAACAAAAAAAATATAGAATTGACTATGAATGTTTATTTGACATCTATACGTAAAGGAGTTCCTAAACAGGTTTATTTGTTGATCACCTTCTTATTTGTGGATTTCTTCTCCGTTTTCTTAGCTGTAGACTTCTTGGACATTTTCTTGGTGGCTGGCTGCTTGAGCGAGGTTTTCTTGATTGTCGGTTTCTTGGCTGTGGCTTTCTTTGTCGAAACCTTTACCTTTGTGGCTTTCTTAAGTGATTCCTTCTTCGTTACATCTTTTTTGGCTGTGGTCTTATTAGTTGATAATTTCTTCTCTGAAGTCTTTTTGGCGGATGTTTTCTTCGCACTGGCTTTCTTCGTCACGTCTTTTTTGGCTGGGATCTTTTTGGCGGATATTTTCTTTGCTGAAGTCTTTTTGTCGGCTGGTTTCTTGGCAGTGGTCTTCTTCGCGACCGGTTTCTTCACTTCGCCTTTACTCGCAGCGGGTTTCCTTCCCTCCGCCTTGCCTTCCACCTTGGCCAGCTTGAAAGAGCCAGAGGCCCCCGTCCCCTTCACCTGGACAAGAGACCCGCCAGCAACGCCCTTCTTCAGCGCCAGCCGGACATGAACGCCTGCTTTCTTCTCGTCCTCGACTCCGTAGAAGGTCAGGACGTACTTGAGGATCGCTTGGCGGGAGGAACCACTCCGCTCCTTCAAGGCTCTGATGGCGGCGGCGACCATCTCGCTGTACTTGGGGCGTCCGGCTGCCTCTCCGGCTTTCTTGGCAGCACTCTCGACCATTATGAAAGCGAGATTTAATGTTGTAATACACTCGAAGATGCTGTTGAGAAGGTGTTTGGTGAAGCCAAGGCCGAGGATGTGTTGTGATGAGCTTCGGGCCTGGGAACATATGTATAGGACCGTGAGAGAGGGAATGAGGCTTCGCTACCTACCCTCGTCCCCTCTTGGGCTGCGTTCAAATCTCCTTAACGTGATTGTTTTTCTTGAGGGTGTTATTACTGTTATTCCTGTTATTATTATTACCGTTTTTGTTATTGTTATTACTATCATTATTATTATTACTATCATTATCATTATTACTATCATTATCATTATTACTATCATTATCATTATTACTATCATTATCATTATTACTATCATTTTCATTACTGCTAGCATTGTAATTACTGCTAGCATTATTATTACTGCTAGTATTATCATTACTGCTAGCATTGTAATTACTGCTAGCATTATCATTACTGCTAGCATTATCATTACTGTTAGCATTGTCATTACTGCTAGCATTGTCATTACTGCTAGCATTGTCATTACTGCTAGCATTGTCATTACTGCTAGCATTGTCATTACTAATGGCAGTATTATTACTGCTGGCATTATTATCACTTCTAGCATTATTATTATTACTAGCATTATTAATTGCTAGCATTATTATTATTACGATTATTATTATTGTTATTATTTATCACTATTATGAATATTAGTTATTATTTATCGCTATTATTGTTATTATTATTATTATTATTATTATTATTACTATTATCATTATTGTTATTATTATTATTGTTATTATTATCAATATTATCATCGTTATAATTATCATATTCATTATAATTATCATCATTATCCTTACTGTTATTATTATTATTATAATTATTGGTGTTTTTGTTGTTATCACTATTACCAGTATTACCATTATCATTATTCTTGCTATTTTTGTTATTATTATTATTATTATTATTATTATTATTATTATTATTATTATCATTATTTTCATCATTATTATCATCATTATTATCATTATTATCATTATTATCATTATTATCATTATTATCATAGTTATTATCCCCATTATTATCAGTATCATGATTATTATCATTATTATTATTATTTTTTACTTTTTTATTATTGTTGTTGTTTATCATTTTGTTACTGTTATTATCATTACAATTATCATCAGCATTATCGTTATTACCATCATTATTATTAGTAGTATAATCATTATTATCATTTTTACTACCATCAATTTCTTCGTCTTCTTATTATTATCATTATTGTTATTATCATTGTTGTTATTATTATTATTATTGTTATCATCCTTATTGTTATCAATTTTATTTATTATCATTATTGTTATTGATATTGCTATTAATATTATCATCATTACGTTTATCATCATTATTATCATTGTTATTTCTATTATTATCAATCATTAATATTATCATAATTATCTTTGTTACTGTCATTTTTATAATTAAGTTATTATAATTTCTATTATTATTATCATTAACATAGTTATCATTTTCATGATAATAATAATTATTATTGCTATTACTATCACTGTTGTCATAATTATCATTATTATTGTTACTAATACTATTATTATCATCATTATTATTCAATGATGAAAACACTCTACCGTGTTGCTACAATGGTATTTTAATAACTCTAGTTTTTACATTGTGTTTTTTTCTACCATCATTATTATTGTTATCATTAATTTAATTTTTATCATTATTATTATCGTTATTATCAATATTATTATTATTGTCTTTATTATCATTACTACTAATATTATTATTGTCATTATTATCATTACTACTATCATTATTATCATTGTTACTATTACTATTGTGCATTGCTAATTTGTTGTCGCAATTGCTTTACTCATCTATTCATCTATCTATTCCAAATAAAAATTATAAATTGCCTTCTTTGTATTATAATTATCATTATCATCATCGGCGTAGGGGCATTTAAAATTTAGGGGGGGGGGCTGCAAATTTTCTGCCCGAGTGAAAGAGGAAGAGAAATTTCACCTGCCAGAAAATTTGTGATGAATGCCACCTGTGGCGTAGATAGAGGGGGGGGGGGCGAAAAACCCACCTATAAGGCTAAACTGCCATTTTGTCGGAAAATTTCTGCACTTGTCGGAAAAATAACGATGGTTTTCTGTTTTGTTTAGTTCTAGTGGCTTTATGTTATGTCCAAAATAATCAAAAATGAGAATTAGTGTCAAATTTTTCATAGCCCCCTCTATGAATTTTCCTATTTACGCCCCATGCCCAAAATTGCCCAAATTCAACCAGCATTTACCCGACTGGGGGGGGCTGCAGCCCCCCGAACCCCCCTGGCTCCTACGCCTATGATTATCATCATCATCATCATCATCTTTTGACTTTCCAGACTAATTAAGATGAAGTTTGTAAAGTTGCATCCATGAAGATCTCATTCAGAGATATGTAAAATATATGTAAGATATATTTGTATGAGTAAAAAAATAAGAGCAAAAACTGCAAATATGACGATTTTTTAATGATATGCACAAAAATAATAATCTTTTAAAATATTTGCAATATAAATCAGCAACTGTTAATAATAGCATTTGAAAACTGCAGAAACATCGGTAGATCTTCCCATTCTCTGTGGTTTGTTCCTTTGTTGTTGTATTCTTGAGTCAGTTTCTTTGTCGTCGCCTTCTTTGTTGCTTCGTTCTTTAGCGTGGTCTTCCCACTCTCTTTCTTTGTTGCAGTCTTAGTTTAGACTTTTTTGTGGTAGTTTTGTGGCTTTCTTCGTTGCAGTCTTATAAGTGGGTTTCTTTGTTGTAGACTTAGCGCTGGGATTCTTTGTCATCGCTTTTCCCGGAGTCTTCTCGTTCTTCGTCACCTGGGCGCAGCCTTCTCCAGCTCCTCCTTGGAAGGCCTGAAGGAGCCGGAGACACCGGCACCCTTGCTCTGTTGCCGGCGACGCCCCTCCTTCGCCTGTTATTTTACTCTTGTAACTGAAATTACCTACTTCATGTCTCTTCATGGAAAGTAGGGTTGTAATAGACTCTTATATTTTGTGTTTTCCTTCTTTTCTTTATTCTTATTTTCAAATGTTTTTATTTTTAAAGGGAATAACGTTTGGTCGTCTATAAATTGCATAATATATATAGTACTACATCAACAAAAGAATAAAAAATAGAATAAAAGATTTTTTATTTGATATCTCTCGTATTCCCTGTTTTTCCACCTAGTTAAGATGCAGTTCGTCAGTATTCATTGATAATACTATCCAGCGATCCATAAACTATGCATATATTCATTTTAAGAGTAAAAAAGTGTAACCAAGGACATACTTTAATCTTATTCACAAACAGGCACAAAACAATCTCATTCAAAAGTTTTTTTGTTTTTTTTTATTTGCAGAAATATCGTTAGCTCCTTCCATTCTTTGTGATTTGTTTCTTTGTTGCTGTTTTCTTTACAGTTGTTGGTTTCTGTTGGAGTGCTCTTGGCGATGGGTTTCCTTGTTGCAGTCTTAGTGGGGACCTTAGAGGTAGGTCTCTTTGTTGCAGTCTTAGCGCTGGATTTCTTTGTTGTTGCGTTTTTCGGAGTCTTCTCGTTCTTCCTCACCATCCTTGCCGAGTTCTTCCTAGGCGCAATCTTCTTCAGCTCAACCTTGGAAAGCCTGAAGGAACCGGAGGCGCCGGTGCCCTTGGTCTGCTGCAGGGACCCACCGGTAACGCCCCTCCCCAGCGCCTTCCTGGAAGGAAGCGAGGATGAACCTGAGGATGGCTTGGCGGGAGGACCCGTTGCGCTCCTTTAGGGCCCCTTGGAACTTAAACGATGTCGCTGAGGGACGAAATTTCCCGGGTCTCACATAAGCAGACGCTGACACCCACACACACACAATGTGTGAATATAAATATATATTTGTGCGTGTGTCATGCAGTTTTAAAAGGTTTCTCACAGTTCCGTTTTAATAAGACATTAAATTTATACAATTGACTATGAATGTTTATTTTTTGACGACTTTCTTGTTTGTAGATTTCTCCGTTTTCTTAGGTGCAGACTTCTTGGTCATTTTCTTAGTGGTTGGCTGCTTGAGCGCGGTTTTCTTCGTCGTCGGTTTCTTGGCTGTGGCTTTCTTTGTTGAAACCTTTTCCTTTGTGTTTTTCTTCAGTGATTCCTTCTTCGCACTGGATTTCTTCGCCACGTCTTTTTTGGCTGTGATCTTTTTGGCGGATATTTTCTTCGCTGAAGTCTTTTTGTCGGCTGGTTTCTTGACAGTGGTCTTCTTCGCGACCGGTTTCTTCGCTTTGCTCCCGCCTTTACTCGCAGCGGGTTTCCTTCCCTCCGCCTTGCCTTCCACCTTGGCCAGCTTGAAAGAGCCAGAGGCTCCCGTCCCCTTCACCTGGACAAGAGACCCGCCAGCAACGCCCTTCTTCAGCGCCAGCCGGACATGAACGCCTGCTTTCTTCTCGTCCTCGACCCCGTAGAAGGTCAGGACGTACTTGAGGATCGCCTGACGGGAAGAACCACTCCGCTCCTTCAAGGCTGTGATGGCGGCGGCGACCATCTCTCTGTACTTGGGGCGTCCGGCTGCCCCTTCGGCTTTCTTGGCAGCACTCACGACCATTATGAAAGCGAGATTTAATGTAATACACTCGAAGATGCTGTTAAGAAGTCGTCTGGCGAAGCCAAGGCCGAGGATGTGTTGTGATGAGCTTCGGGCCTGGGAACATATGTATAGGGCTGTGAGAGAGGGAATGAGGCTTCGCTACCTACCCTCGTGCCCTCTCGGGCTGCGTTGAAATCCAATTTGTTATTGTTATTTCTGTAATTATCATCATTGTTGTTATTATTATTATCATTATCATTATTACCAAATATCTGAAATACAAATCAACAACTGTTAATAATAGCATTTAAAACTGTAGAAACATCAATAGCTCTTCCCATTCTTTGAGGTTTGTTCCTTTGTTGTATTCTTGAGTCTGTTTCTATTCTGTCGCCTTCTTCGTTGCTTCATTCTTTAGCGTGCTCTTTCCGCTGGCTTTATCTGTTGCAGTGTTAGTGGGGACTTTCTTTGTGACAGTCTTAGTGGAGACTTTCTTTGTGGCAGTCTAAGTGGGAACTTTCTTTGTGGCCGTCTTAGTGAGGATTTTCTTTGTTGCTGTCTTAGAGGTGGATTTCTTTGTTGCAGTCTTAGTGGGAACTTTATTTGTGGCGGTTTTAGTGGGAACTTTCTTTGTGGCGGTCTTAAAAGTGGATTTCTTTGTTGTAGTCTCTTTCTCTCTCTATATATATATACATATATTTATCTCTCCACCTGTCTTTCCACATCCCCAACATTACATATAATCAAAGAGAGTAATTGTTGTTTTTAGACATCGATTCATTGTCTCCGTGCTTATTTGCGCTTGTATAAAACGTCTTTTGTGTCATAGGGAAAACTATTTTACTATTGTAACTGAAATTACCTAGTTCATGTCTCCTCATGGAAGATGGGGTTCTAATACACTGTTATATTTTGTGTTTCCATTCTTTTCTTTATTCTTATTTTCAAATTTGTTTTCATTTTTTAGGGGAAATAACATTTGGTCGTCTATAAATAACGATATATACATTACAACATCGACAAGAGAATAAAACATCAAGATTTTTATCTGATAATTATTTCGTATTCCCTAGTTAAGATGCAATTCATCAGTATTAATTGATAATACTATCCAGTGATCCTTGAGGTATGTATAGGTTCATATTAAAAGTTAAATATACAATCAGGGACGTACGTTTAATCCTATACACACACAGTCATATAAACAATCTCATTCGAAAGTGACTAATACAAATCAACAGTTGTCAATAATATAGCATTCAAAAATTGCAGGAAGATCGTTAGCTCCTCCCATTCTTTGTGGTTTGTTTCTTTGTTGCTGTTTCCTTGACAGTCTGTTTCTTTGCTGTTGGTTTCTTTGATGCTTCGTTTTTTGGAGTGCTCTTTGCGATGGGTTTCTTTGGAGTCTTAGAAATGGGTTTCTATGTTCCAGTCTTAGCGGGGACCTTAGAGCTAGGTCTTTAAGCAGACTAAGTGCTGGGTTTCTTTGTGGCAGTCTTAGTAAGGACCTTCGAGATAGGTCTCTTTGTTGCAGATTTAGCGCTGGGTTTCTTTGCCGTCACGTTTCCCTTAGTCTTCTCGTTCTTCGTCATCTTCTTGGCCGAGCCCTTCTTGGGCGCAGCCTTCTTCAGCTCCTCCTTGGAGGCGGCTTTCTTTGTCGAAACCTTTTCCTTTGTGGTTTTCTTCAGTGATTCCTTCTTCGCGCTGGGTTTCTTCGTCACGTCTCCCTTAGTCTTCTCGTTCTTCGTCATCTTCTTGGCCGAGCCCTTCTTGGGCGCAGCCTTCTTCAGCTCCTCCTTGGAGGCGGCTTTCTTTGTCGAAACCTTTTCCTTTGTGGTTTTCTTCAGTGATTCCTTCTTCGCGCTGGGTTTCTTTGCCGTCACGTTTCCCTTAGTCTTCTCGTTCTTCGTCATCTTCTTGGCCGAGCCCTTCTTGGGCGCAGCCTTCTTCAGCTCCTCCTTGGAGGCGGCTTTCTTTGTCGAAACCTTTTCCTTTGTGGTTTTCTTCAGTGATTCCTTCTTCGCGCTGGGTTTCTTTGCCGTCACGTTTCCCTTAGTCTTCTCGTTCTTCGTCATCTTCTTGGCCGAGCCCTTCTTGGGCGCAGCCTTCTTCAGCTCCTCCTTGGAGGCGGCTTTCTTTGTCGAAACCTTTTCCTTTGTGGTTTTCTTCAGTGATTCCTTCTTCGCGCTGGGTTTCTTTGCCGTCACGTTTCCCTTAGTCTTCTCGTTCTTCGTCATCTTCTTGGCCGAGCCCTTCTTGGGCGCAGCCTTCTTCAGCTCCTCCTTGGAGGCGGCTTTCTTTGTCGAAACCTTTTCCTTTGTGGTTTTCTTCAGTGATTCCTTCTTCGCGCTGGGTTTCTTTGCCGTCACGTTTCCCTTAGTCTTCTCGTTCTTCGTCATCTTCTTGGCCGAGCCCTTCTTGGGCGCAGCCTTCTTCAGCTCCTCCTTGGAGGCGGCTTTCTTTGTCGAAACCTTTTCCTTTGTGGTTTTCTTCAGTGATTCCTTCTTCGCGCTGGGTTTCTTTGCCGTCACGTTTCCCTTAGTCTTCTCGTTCTTCGTCATCTTCTTGGCCGAGCCCTTCTTGGGCGCAGCCTTCTTCAGCTCCTCCTTGGAGGCGGCTTTCTTTGTCGAAACCTTTTCCTTTGTGGTTTTCTTCAGTGATTCCTTCTTCGCGCTGGGTTTCTTTGCCGTCACGTTTCCCTTAGTCTTCTCGTTCTTCGTCATCTTCTTGGCCGAGCCCTTCTTGGGCGCAGCCTTCTTCAGCTCCTCCTTGGAGGCGGCTTTCTTTGTCGAAACCTTTTCCTTTGTGGTTTTCTTCAGTGATTCCTTCTTCGCGCTGGGTTTCTTTGCCGTCACGTTTCCCTTAGTCTTCTCGTTCTTCGTCATCTTCTTGGCCGAGCCCTTCTTGGGCGCAGCCTTCTTCAGCTCCTCCTTGGAGGCGGCTTTCTTTGTCGAAACCTTTTCCTTTGTGGTTTTCTTCAGTGATTCCTTCTTCGCGCTGGGTTTCTTTGCCGTCACGTTTCCCTTAGTCTTCTCGTTCAACCGGTTTCTCACTTCGCCGTTACTCGCAGCCGGGTTCCTTCCCTCCGCTTTGCCTTTCCACCTTGGCCGCTTGAGAAGAGCCAGAGGCTCCCGTCCCCTTCACAAACGGACAAGAGACCGCGCCGCAACTCCATTCTTCAGCGCCAGCCGGACGTGAAAGCCTGCTTTCTTCTCGTCCCTCGACCCCGTAGAAGGTCAGAACGTACTTGAGGATCGCCTGACGGGAGGAACCACTCCGCTCCTTCAAGGCTGTAATGGCGGCGGCGACCATCTCGCTGTACTTGGGGCGTCCGGCTGCCTCTCCGGCTTTCTTGGCAGCACTCTTGACCATTATGAAAGCGAGATTTAATGTTGTGATAGACTCAAAGATGCTGTGAAGAAGGCGTTTGGTGAAGCCAAGGCCGAGGATGTGTTGTGGTGAGCTTCGGGCCTGGGAGTATATGTATAGGGCCGTGAGAGAGGGAATGAGGCGTCGCTACCTACCCTCGTGCCCTCTCGGGCTGCGGTCAAATCTCCTTTAGGTAATTTCTTAATCTTTCTTGAGGGTGTCATAATTGTTATTCCTGTTATCATTATCATTGTTGTTATTGTTATTACTATCATTATCATTATTACTATCATTATCATTATTACTATCATTATCATTACTATCATTATTATTATTACCATCATCATTAGTATTATTATCATTACTATCATTATCATTATTACTATCATTATCATTGCTATCATTATTATTATTATCATCATCATTAGTATTATTATTATTACTATCATTATCATTATTACTATCATTATCATTATTACTATCAATATCATTACTATCATTATTATTATTATCATTATCATTAGTATTATTATTATTACTATCATTATCATTATTACTAACATTATCATTATTACTAACATTATTATTATTACTAGTATTATTATCATTACTAGCATTATCATTATTACTAGCATTATCATTATTACTAATATTGTCATTATTACTAGCATTATCATTATTACTAGCATTGTCATTATTACTAGCATTGTCATTATTACTAGCATTGTCATTATTACTAACATTGTCATTATTACTAGCATTATCATTATTACTAGCATTGTCATTATTATTAGCATTGTCATTATTACTAGCATTGTCATTATTACTAGCATTATCATTATTACTAGCATTATCATTATTACTAGCATTATCATTATTACTAGCATTATCATTATCACTAGCATTATCATTGTTACTAGCATTGTCATTATTATTAGCATTGTCATTATTACTAGCATTGTCATTATTATTAGCATTGTCATTATTACTAGCATTATCATTATTACTAAGATTGTCATTATTACTAGCAGTGTCATTATTACTAGCAGTGTCATTATTACTAGCAGTGTCATTATTATTAGCAGTGTCATTATTATTAGCATTGTCATTATTACTAGCGTTATCATTATTACTAGCGTTATCATTATTACTAGCGTTATCATTATTACTAACGTTATCATTATCACGAGCGTTACCATTATTGCTAGCGTTACCACTATTGCTAATATTACCATTATTAATAGCATTACCACTCTTACTAGCGGTACCACTATTACTAGCATTATCACTATTACTAGTGTTACCACTATTACTAGCGGTACCACTATTACTAGCGTTACTACTATTACTAGCGGTACCACTATTACTAGCAGTACCAATATTACTAGCGGTACCACTATTGCTAGCGTTACCACTATTGCTAGCCTTACCACTATTACTAGCATTACCACTATTATTAGCACTACCACTATTACTAGTATTACCGCTATTACTAGCATTACTACTATTACTAACATTACCACTATTACTAGCATTACCACTATTACTAGCATTACCACTATTACTAGTATTACCGCTATTACTAGCATTACCATTATTGATAGCATTACCGCTATTGCTAGCATTACTACTATTACTAACATTACCACTATTACTAGCATTACCACTGTTCCTAGCATTACCACTATTACTAGCTTTACCACTATTACTAGCATTGCCACTATTACTAGCATTATCATTATTACTAGCATTACCACTATTACTAGCACTACCACTATTACTAGTATTACCGCTATTACTAGCATTACTACTATTACTAACATTACCACTATTACTAGCATTACCACTATTACTAGTATTACCGCTATTACTAACATTATCATCATTATTATTACTATCATTATCATTATTACTATCATTATCATTACTGCTAGCAATATCCTTATTATTATCATTATCATTATTACTATCATTTTCATTACAGCTAGCATTATCAATACTGCTAGCATTATTATTACTGCCGGGATTATTATTACTGCTAGCATTATTACTAATAGCATTATTATTACTGCTTGCATTATCATTGTTATTATTTATCACTATTATTATTTTTATTATTATCATTATTATTATTATTGTTATTATCATTATTGTTTTTATTATTTTGTTGTTATTATTGTTGTTGTTATTATCATTATTGTTATTATTATTACTATTATTATTATCAATATTGTCATCGTTATAACTATCATAATCATTATTATTATCATCCTCATTATCATTACTGTTGTTGTTGTTATTATCATTATTATTATTATTATTATCATTATTATTGGTGTTGATGTTGTTATCACTATTACCAGTATTACTATTATCATTATTCTTGCTTTTTTTGTTATTGTTATTGTTATTATTATTATTATTGTTATTATTATTATTATTATCATCATCATTATTATTAGTAGTAGTAGTATCATCATCATTATTATCATTATTATCCAAAGTATTATCATCATTATTATCATTATCATCGTTATTATCATTTTTTTATCATTGTTGTTGTTTATCATTAGTATAATCATTATTATAATTTTTGTTACCATCTTTTTCGTCTTCTTATTATTATTATCATCCTTATTATCATTTTTATTTATCATTATTATTGTTACTGATATTGCTATTAATATTCTCATCATTATCGTTGTTGGTATTTCTATTATTATTATCAATCATTAATATTATCATCATTATCATTATTACTGTCATTTTTATAATTGAATTAGTATTATTTCTATTGTTATTATCATTAGCATCATTATCATTTTTATAATAATAATTATCATTATTGCTATTACTATCACTATTGTCATAATTATCATTATCATTGTTACTACTATTATTATCATCGTTGTTATTGTTATCATTGATTTTATTGTTATCAATATTATTATCATTATGATCAATATTAATATTATTGTCATTATTATTATTACTACTATCATTATTATCATTATTGCTATAATTATTGTACATTGCTAATTTGTTGTCGTAATTGCTTTACTTATCTATTCACATATATCTATTCCAAATAAAAATTATAAATTGCCTTCTTCGTATTATAACTATCATCATCATCATCATCTTTTTGACTTTCCAGAGTAATTAAGATGAAGTTGTAAAGTTGCATCTCATTTATAGATATATAAAATATATGTAAAATATATTTGTATGCGTAAAAAAATAAGAATAAAAATTGCAAATATGACGATTTGTTAATGATATGCACAAAAATGATAATCTTTTAAAATATTTGCAATATAAATCAGCAACTGTTAATAATACCATTTAAAAACTGCAGAAACATCGGTAGCTCTTCCCACTCTTTGTGGTTTGTTCCTTTGTTGCTGTATTCTTGAGTCAATTTCTTTGCCGTAGCCTTCTTTGTTGCTTCGTTCTTTAGCGTGGTCTTTCCGCTGTCTTTCTTTGTCGCAGTCTTAGTTTAGACTTTTTTTGTGGCAGTTTTGAGGCTTTCTTCGTTGCAGTCTTATAAGTGGGATTCTTTGTCATCGCTTTTCCCGGAGTCTTCTCGTTCCTCGTCACCTGGGCGCAGCCTTCTTCAGCTCCTCCTTGGAAGGCCTGAAGGAGCCGGAGACGCCGGCGCCCTTGCTCTGTTGCCGGTGACGCCCCTCCTTCGCTGGCTATTTTACTATTGTAACTGAAATTACCTAGTTCATGTCTCCTCATGGAAAATAAGGTTGTAATAGACTTATATTTTGTTTCCCTTCTTTTCTTTATTCTTATATTGAAATAGTTTTTATTTTATAAGGGGAATAATATTTGGAAGTTTATAAATAACACAATATATACATTACAACATCGACAAGAGAATAAAAAATCAAGATTTTTTATTTGATATCTCTCGTATTCCCTGTTTTTCCACCTAGTTAAGATGCAGTTCGTCAGTATCCATTGATAATACTATCCAGCGATCCATAAGCTATGCATATATTAATTTTAAGTGCAAAAAATTGTAGTCAAGGACATACTTTAATCTTATTCACAAACAGGCACATAAAAAATCTCATTCAAAAGTTGTTTTTTATTTGCAGAAATATCGTTAGCTCCTCCCATTCTTTGGGAGGAGCTAACGAGGAGCTAATTTGTTTCTTTGTTGCTGTTTTCTTTACAGTTGTTGGTTTCTGTTGGAGTGCTCTTAGCGATGGGTTTCTTTGGTGCAGTCTTAGTGGGGACCTTAGAGGTAGGTCTCTTTGTTGCAGTCTTAGTGCTGGCATGCTTTGCTGTTGCGTTTTCCAGAGTCTTCTCGTTCTTCATCACCATCCTTACCGAGTCCTTCCTGGGCGCAGTCCTTTTCAGCCTAATCCTGGAGAGCCTGAAGGAGCCGGAGGCGCCGGTGCCCTTGGTCTGCTGCAGGGACCCACCGGTAACGCCCCTCCCCAGCGCCTTCCTGGAAGGAAGCGAGGATGAACCTGAGGATGGCTTGGCGGGAGAACCCGTTGCGCTCCTTCAGGGCCCCTTGGAGCTTAAACGAGGTCGCTGAGGGACGAGATTTCCCGGTTCTCGAATAAGCAGACGTTGACACACAGACACAATGTGTGAATATACCTATATATTTGTGCGTGTGTCATACAGTTTTATGAGGTTTCTCACAGTTCCGTTTTAATAAGACATTACATTTATACAACTGACTATGAATGTTTATTTTTTGACGACTTTCTTGTTTGTAGATTTCTCCGTTTTCTTAGCTGCAGACTTCTTGGTCATTTTCTTAGTGGTTGGCTGCTTGAGCGCGGTTTTCTTCGTCGTCGGTTTCTTGGCTGTGGCTTTCTTTGTTGAAACCTTTTCCTTTGTGTTTTTCTTCAGTGATTCCTTCTTCGTACTGGATTTCTTCGTCACGTCTTTTTTGGCTGTGATCTTTTTGGCGGATATTTTCTTCGCTGAGGTCTTTTTGTCGGCCAGTTTCTTGACAGTGGTCTTCTTCGCGACCGGTTTCTTCGCTTTGCTCCCGCCTTTACTCGCAGCGGGTTTCCTTCCCTCCGCCTTGCCTTCAATCTTAGCTAGCTTGAAAGAGCCAGAGGCCCCCGTCCCCTTCACCTGGACAAGAGACCCGCCGGCTACGCCCTTCTTCAGCGCCAGCCGGACATGAACGCCTGCTTTCTTCTCGTCCTCGACCCCGTAGAAGGTCAGGACGTACTTGAGGATCGCCTGACGGGAAGAACCACTCCGCTCCTTCAAGGCTGTGATGGCGGAGGCGACCATCTCGCTGTACTTGGGGCGACCGGCTGCCCCTTCGGCTTTCTTGGCAGCACTCACGACCATTATGAAAGCGAGATTTAATGTTGTAATACACACAAAGATGCTCTGAGGAAGGCGTTTAGTGAAGCCAAGGTCGAGGATGTGTTGTGATGAGCTTCGGGCCTGGGAGTATATGTATAGGGCCGTGAGAGAGGGAATGAGGCTTCGCTACCTACCCTCGTCCCCTCTCGGGTTGCGTTCAAATCTCCTTTACGGGATTGTTTTTCTTGAGGGTGTTATCATTGTTATTTCTGTTATTATTATTACCATTTTTGTTATTGTTTGTTATTATTACCATCATCATTATTATTACCATTATTATTATTATTATCATAATTATTATTGCTATCATTATTATAATTACTATCATCATTATTATTACCACTACTATCAGTAGTAGTATTGCTATTATTACTATCATTATTATTGTTGCTATTCTTATTGTTATTATTATCAATATTGTCACCATTATAATTATCATCATTATTACTGTTATCATAATTATCATTATTTTTATTATCATTATTATTATTGGTGTTGTTTTTGCTGTTGTTATCACTATTACCAGTATTACCATTACCATTATCATTCTTGCTACTTTTGTTATCCTTATTTTTATTACTATTGTTATTATTATTATTATTATTACTATTATTATTATTATTATTATTATTGGTGTAGTTTTTGCTGTTATCACTATTACCAGTATTACCATTATCATTATCATTGTTGCTACTTGTTGTTATCATTATTATTATTATTATTATTATTATCATTATCATCATCATTATTAACATTATTATTATTATTATTATTATTATTATTATTATTATTGCTTTTGGTATCGTTATTATTATTGTTATTATCATTACAATTATCATCAGCATTATCGTCATTATCACCCTTATTATTATTGTTATTACTATTATTATCATTATTGTTATCATTATTATAATTTTACTACCATTATTTTCTTCGTCTTACTATCATTATTGTTATTATTATTGCTATCATTATTTTCATTATTATTTATTATTATTGTCATTGTTCGTGCTAATAATATTATCATCATTACTTTTATCGTCATCATTGTTATTGTTGTTATTTCTATTATTATTATCAATCAATAATATCATTATCATTATTACCGCCATTCTTATGATTATTATCATTATTATTATTATTATAATCATTATATTATCATTATCATTCTTATCATAAATATTATTGCTATTATTATCACTATTGTCATAATTATCAGTATTGTTATTATTGTTATTATTACTGCTACTACTACTACTATTATCATCATTATTATTATCATTATTTTTATTGTTATCACTATTATCATTATCATTATTATTATTATTATTGTCATTATTATCATTACTACTATTATTATTATCATTATTAGTACTGTTCTTACTGTGCATTACTAATTTGTTGTAATTGCTTTACTCATCTGTTCATCTATCTATTCCAAATAAAGATTATAAATTGACTTTTTTGTATTATAATTATTATCATTATCATCATTTCATCACCATCATCTTTTGACTTTCCAGACTAATTAAGATGAAGTTTTTTAAGTTTCATCCATGAAGATTTCATTTAGAGATATGTAAAATATATGTAAATATATTCGTATATGAGCAAAAAAATAAGAATGAATATTGCAAATATGACGGTTTTTAAGTGTTATACACAAAGTTATCATCTCTCATTAAAATATCTGCAATATAAATCAACACCTGTTAATAATAGCATTTAAAAACTGCAGAAACATCGGTAGCTCTTCCCATTCTTCGAGGTTTGTTCCTTTGTTGTATTATTGAGTCTGTTTCTTTTCCGTCGCCTTCTTTGTTGCTCCATTCTTTAGCGTGCTCTTTCCGCTGGCTTTATTTGTTGCAGTGTTAGTGGAGACTTTCTTTGTGACAGTCTTAGAGGGGACTTTCTTTGTGACAGTCTTAGTGGGGACTTTCTTTGTGGCAGTCTTAGTGGGGACTTTCTTTGTGGCAGTCTAAGTGGGAACTTATTGCTATTACTATCACTATTGTCATAATTATCATTATTATTGTTACTATAATAACATTTGGTCGTCTATAAATAACGATATATACATTACATCAACAAGAGAATAAAAATTTAAGATTTTTATCTGATATTTATCTCGTATTCGATCTAGTTAAGATGCAATTCATCAGTATACATTGATAATAATAGCCAGTGATCATTAAGCTATGTATAGGCTCATATTAAAAGTAAAATGTGCAATTAGGGACGTACGTTTAATCCTATATACAAACAGTCATATAAACAATCTCATTCAAAAGTAACGAATACAAGTCAACAGTTGTATACAATATAGAATTCAAAAATTGCAGGAAGATCGTTAGCTCCTCCCATTCTTTGTGGTTTGTTTCTTTGCTGTTGTTTCCTGGACAGTCTGTTTCTTTGCTGTCGCCTTCCTTGATGTTGGTTTCTTTGATGCTTCGTTTTTTGGAGTGCTCTTTGCGATGGGTTTCTTTGGAGTCTTAGAAATGGGTTTCTATGTTCCAGTCTTAGTGGGGACCTTAGAGCTAGGTCTTTAAGCAGACTAAGTGCTGGGTTTCTTTGTGGCAGTCTTAGTAAGGACCTTCGAGATAGGTCTCTTTGTTGCAGATTTAGCGCTGGGTTTCTTTGCCGTCACGTTTCCCTTAGTCTTCTCGTTCTTCGTCATCTTGGCCGAGCCCTTCTTGGACGCAGCCTTCTTCAGCTCCTCCTTGGAGGAAGCTTTCTTTGTCGGAACCTTTTCCTTTGTGGTTTTCTTCAGTGATTCCTTCTTCGCGCTGGCTTTCTTCGGTTGCAGTCTTAGCGCCGGGTTTCTTGTTGCAGTCTTAGCACCGGGTTTCTTTGTTGTAGTCTTAGCGCCGGGTTCTTTGTTGCAGTCTTAGCGCGGGTTTCTTTGTTGCAGTCCTATCGCCGGGTTTCTTTGTTGCAGTCTTAGCGCCGGGTTCTTTGTTGCAGTCCTATCGCCGGGTTTCTTTGTTGCAGTCTTAGCGCCGGTTTCTTTGTTGCAGTCTTAGCGCCGGGTTTCTTTGTTGCAGTCTAGCGCCGGGTTTCTTGTTGCAGTCTTAGCGCCGGGTTTCTTTGTTGCAGTCTAGCGCCGGGTTTCTTTGTTGCAGTCCTATCGCCGGGTTTCTTTGTTGCAGTCCTATCGCCGGGTTTCTTTGTTGCAGTCTTAGCGCCGGTTTCTTTGTTGCAGTCTAGCGCCGGGTTTCTTGTTGCAGTCTTAGCGCCGGGTTCTTTGTTGCAGTCTTAGCGCCGGGTTTCTTTGTTGCAGTCTTAGCGCCGGGTTCTTTGTTGCAGTCTTAGCACCGGGTTTCTTTGTTGCCGTCTTAGCGCCGGGTTCTTTGTTGCAGTCCTATCGCCGGGTTTCTTTGTTGCAGTCTTAGCGCCGGTTTCTTTGTTGCAGTCCTATCGCCGGGTTTCTTTGTTGCAGTCTTAGCACCGGGTTTCTTTGTTGCAGTCTAGCGCCGGGTTTCTTTGTTGCAGTTTTAAAGCCGGGTTTCTTTGTTGCAGTTTTAAAGCCGGGTTTCTTTGTTGCAGTCCTATCGCCGGGTTTCTTTGTTGCAGTCTTAGCACCGGGTTTCTTTGTTGCAGTCCTATCGCCGGGTTTCTTTGTTGCAGTCTTAGCACCGGGTTTCTTTGTTGCAGTCTAGCGCCGGGTTTCTTGTTGCAGTCTTAGCGCCGGTTTCTTTGTTGCAGTCTAGCGCCGGGTTTCTTTGTTGCAGTCTAGCGCCGGGTTTCTTGTTGCAGTCTTAGCGCGGGTTTCTTTGTTGCCGTCTTAGCGCCGGGTTTCTTGTTGCAGTCTTAGCGCGGGTTTCTTTGTTGCAGTTTTAAAGCCGGGTTTCTTTGTTGCAGTCTTAGCACCGGGTTTCTTTGTTGCAGTTTTAAAGCCGGGTTTCTTTGTTGCAGTCTAGCGCCGGGTTTCTTTGTTGCAGTTTTAAAGCCGGGTTTCTTTGTGCAGTCTTAGCGCCGGGTTTCTTTGTTGCAGTCTAGCGCCGGGTTTCTTGTTGCAGTCTTAGCGCGGGTTTCTTTGTTGCAGTCTTAGCGCGGGTTTCTTTGTTGCCGTCTTAGCGCCGGGTTTCTTTGTGCAGTCTTAGCGCCGGGTTTCTTTGTTGCAGTCTTAGCGCGGGTTTCTTTGTTGCAGTTTTAAAGCCGGGTTTCTTTGTTGTAGTCTTAGCGCCGGGTTCTTTGTTGCAGTCTAGCGCCGGGTTTCTTGTTGCAGTCTTAGCGCCGGGTTTCTTTGTTGCAGTCTTAGCGCCGGGTTTCTTTGTTGCAGTCTTAGCGCCGGGTTTCTTTGTTGCAGTCTTAGCGCCGGGTTTCTTTGTTGCAGTCTTATCGCCGGGTTTCTTTGTTGCAGTCTTAGCGCCGGGTTTCTTTGTTGCAGTCTTAGCGCCGGGTTTCTTTGTTGCAGTCTTTAAAGCCGGGTTTCTTTGTTGCAGTCTTAGCACCGGGTTTCTTTGTTGCAGTCTTAGCGCCGGGTTTCTTTGTTGCAGTCTTAGCGCCGGGTTTCTTTGTTGCAGTCTTAGCGCCTGGTTTCTTTGTTGCAGTCTTAGAGCCGGGTTCTTTGTTGCAGTCCTATCGCCGGGTTTCTTTGTTGCAGTCCTATCGCCGGGTTTCTTTGTTGTAGTCTTAGCGCCGGGTTTCTTTGTTGCAGTTTTAAAGCCGGGTTTCTTTGTTGTAGTCTTAGCGCCGGGTTTCTTGTTGCAGTCTTAGCACCGGGTTTCTTTGTTGCAGTCTTAGCGCCGGTTTCTTTGTTGCAGTCTTAGCGCCGGGTTTCTTTGTTGCAGTCTTAGCGCCGGGTTTCTTGTTGCAGTCTTAGCGCGGGTTTCTTTGTTGTAGTCTTAGCGCCGGGTTTCTTTGTTGTAGTCTTAGCGCCGGGTTCTTTGTTGCAGTTTTAAAGCCGGGTTTCTTTGTTGTAGTCTTAGCGCCGGGTTTCTTGTTGCAGTCTTAGCGCGGGTTTCTTTGTTGTAGTCTTAGCGCCGGGTTTCTTTGTTGCAGTCCTATCGCCGGGTTTCTTTGTTGCAGTCTTAGCGCGGGTTTCTTTGTTGTAGTCTTAGCGCCGGGTTCTTTGTTGCAGTTTTAAAGCCGGGTTTCTTTGTTGCAGTTTTAAAGCCGGGTTTCTTTGTTGCAGTTTTAAAGCCGGGTTTCTTTGTTGCAGTTTTAAAGCCGGGTTTCTTTGTTGCAGTTTTAAAGCCGGGTTTCTTTGTTGCAGTCCTATCGCCGGGTTTCTTTGTTGCAGTTTTAAAGCCGGGTTTCTTTGTTGCAGTCCTATCGCCGGGTTTCTTTGTTGCAGTCTTAGCGCCGGGTTTCTTTGTTGCAGTCTAGCGCCGGGTTTCTTGTTGCAGTCTTAGCGCCGGGTTTCTTTGTTGCAGTCTTAGCACCGGGTTTCTTTGTTGCAGTCTAGCGCCGGGTTTCTTGTTGCAGTCTTAGCGCGGGTTTCTTTGTTGCAGTCTTAGCGCCGGGTTTCTTTGTTGCAGTCTTAGCGCCGGGTTCTTTGTTGCAGTCTAGCGCCGGGTTTCTTGTTGCAGTCTTAGCGCCGGGTTTCTTTGTTGCAGTCCTATCGCCGGGTTTCTTTGTTGCCGTCTTAGCGCCGGGTTTCTTTGTTGCAGTCTTAGCGCCGGGTTTCTTTGTTGCAGTTTTAAAGCCGGGTTTCTTTGTTGCAGTTTTAAAGCCGGGTTTCTTTGTTGCAGTCTTAGCACCGGGTTTCTTTGTTGCAGTCTAGCGCCGGGTTTCTTTGTTGCAGTCCTATCGCCGGGTTTCTTTGTTGCAGTCTTAGCGCCGGGTTTCTTTGTTGCAGTCTTAGCGCCGGGTTTCTTTGTTGCAGTCTTAGCGCCGGTTTCTTTGTTGCAGTTTTAAAGCCGGGTTTCTTTGTTGCAGTCTTAGCGCCGGGTTTCTTTGTGCAGTCTTAGCGCCGGGTTTCTTTGTTGCAGTCTTAGCGCCGGGTTTCTTTGTTGCAGTCTTAGCGCCGGGTTTCTTGTTGCAGTCTTAGCGCCGGGTTTCTTGTTGCAGTCTTAGCGCGGGTTTCTTTGTTGCAGTCCTATCGCCGGGTTTCTTTGTTGCAGTCCTATCGCCGGGTTTCTTTGTTGCAGTCTTAGCGCCGGGTTTCTTGTTGCAGTCTTAGCGCCGGTTTCTTTGTTGCAGTTTTAAAGCCGGGTTTCTTTGTTGCAGTCTTAGCGCCGGGTTCTTTGTTGCAGTCTTAGCGCCGGGTTCTTTGTTGCAGTCCTATCGCCGGGTTTCTTTGTTGCAGTCTTAGCGCCGGGTTTCTTGTTGCAGTCTTAGCGCCGGGTTCTTTGTTGCAGTCTTAGCGCCGGGTTCTTTGTTGCAGTCTTAGCGCCGGTTTCTTTGTTGCAGTCTTAGCGCCGGGTTTCTTGTTGCAGTCTTAGCGCGGGTTTCTTTGTTGCAGTCTTAGCGCCGGGTTTCTTGTTGCAGTCTTAGCGCCGGTTTCTTTGTTGCAGTCCTATCGCCGGGTTTCTTTGTTGCAGTCTTAGCGCCGGGTTCTTTGTTGCAGTCTTAGCGCCGGGTTCTTTGTTGCAGTCTTAGCGCGGGTTTCTTTGTTGCAGTCTTAGCGCCGGGTTTCTTGTTGCAGTCTTAGCGCCGGGTTCTTTGTTGCAGTTTTAAAGCCGGGTTTCTTTGTTGCAGTCTTAGCGCGGGTTTCTTTGTTGCAGTCTTAGCGCCGGGTTTCTTTGTTGCAGTCTTAGCGCCGGGTTCTTTGTTGCAGTTTTAAAGCCGGGTTTCTTTGTTGCAGTTTTAAAGCCGGGTTTCTTTGTTGCAGTCTTAGCGCCGGTTTCTTTGTTGCAGTTTTAAAGCCGGGTTTCTTTGTTGCAGTCTTAGCGCCGGGTTCTTTGTTGCAGTCTTAGCGCCGGGTTCTTTGTTGCAGTTTTAAAGCCGGGTTTCTTTGTTGCAGTCTTAGCGCCGGGTTCTTTGTTGCAGTCCTATCGCCGGGTTTCTTTGTTGCAGTCTTAGCGCCGGGTTTCTTTGTTGCAGTCTTAGCGCCGGGTTTCTTTGTTGCAGTTTTAAAGCCGGGTTTCTTTGTTGCAGTCTTAGCACCGGGTTTCTTTGTTGTAGTCTTAGCGCCGGGTTTCTTTGTTGCAGTCTTAGCGCCGGGTTTCTTTGTTGCAGTCTTAGCGCCGGGTTTCTTTGTTGCAGTCTTAGCGCCGGGTTTCTTTGTTGCAGTCTTAGCGCCGGGTTTCTTTGTTGCAGTTTTAAAGCCGGGTTTCTTTGTTGCAGTCTTAGCACCGGGTTTCTTTGTTGCAGTCTTAGCGCCGGGTTCTTTGTTGCAGTTTTAAAGCCGGGTTTCTTTGTTGCAGTCTTAGCGCCGGTTTCTTTGTTGCAGTCCTATCGCCGGGTTTCTTTGTTGCAGTCTTAGCGCCGGGTTCTTTGTTGCAGTCTTAGCGCCGGGTTTCTTGTTGCAGTCTTAGCGCCGGGTTCTTTGTTGCAGTTTTAAAGCCGGGTTTCTTTGTTGCAGTTTTAAAGCCGGGTTTCTTTGTTGCAGTCTTAGCGCGGGTTTCTTTGTTGCAGTCTTAGCGCCGGTTTCTTTGTTGCAGTTTTAAAGCCGGGTTTCTTTGTTGCAGTCCTATCGCCGGGTTTCTTTGTTGCAGTTTTAAAGCCGGGTTTCTTTGTTGCAGTTTTAAAGCCGGGTTTCTTTGTTGCAGTTTTAAAGCCGGGTTTCTTTGTTGTAGTCTTAGCGCCGGGTTTCTTTGTTGCAGTCTTAGCGCCGGGTTTCTTTGTTGCAGTCTTAGCGCCGGGTTTCTTTGTTGCAGTCTTAGCGCCTGGTTTCTTTGTTGCAGTCTTAGAGCCAGCTTTCTTTGTTACAGTCTTAGCTCCCGGTTTTTTCGTTGCAGTCTTACTAGTGGATTTCTTTGCAGACTTGTTTGCCACCGCCTTTCCCGGAGTCTTCTCGTTCTCCGTCACCTTCTTCTTGGCGGAGTCCTTCCTAGGCACAACTTTCTTCAGCTCCTCCTCGGAAAGTCTGAAGGAGCCGGAGGCGCCGGTGCCCTTGGTCTGCTGCAGGGACCCGTCGGCAACGCCCCTCCTCAGCGCCTGCTTCAGGTGCACGCCGGCGGCCTTCTCGTCTCCGACCTGGAAGGAAGCGAGGAT